GAGAGAGAGAGAGAGAGAGAGAGAGAGAGAGAGAGAGAGAGAGAGAGGAGAAAGGTTGGGGAAAAACAGAGAAACAAGAGAAACATCAGCACTCACCATCTCAATAGGTTTGTCCAAGAGAACTGGCCGTCTGGGCTCCTTTCCACTTAGAACCTGCACAACAACAGCCATGTTGTCACACATCAGAGTGTGCTCGCAATCAGATATTTTGGGTGAATCTGTGCATCCACGCAGCCGGATACATCCAGGAGAGGACTGCTGTGAGTATGTCCTGCCCATACTCACAATAGGATATTCTGGTCGGCAGTGCAGTCAGATACGTCCAAGAAAGTACTAGTCTGAATGTGCCCTCACTACTCCATATGCAAACCATTAGTCGGTAACTTGGAAGGCATATGCCTTGAAGAGGCATACTCAGAATATTACTTTCTGTCATGCATCTCATTCCATATACGTCCAAATTCAACTCACATCGAGGAGAAGATTATCACGCCTGGCTGGGCACCCGGGCGTGACGCCCAGGGTACTTGGGCGAGCAAAATAAATAGAGAAATAAATTATAAATATATATATCGTCACAAATAGAACTGCCCGGTAAACCGTAGGCAGAGAGAGAGAAGAGGACAACAAACGAGGGGCTGTGACAAACTGTTTCGTCGGAGTTTCACCGACTCATCTATATAGTCAAATATATATCATCAAAGAGAGCTGCCCGGTAAACCGTAGGCAGAGAGGGAGAAGAGGACAACAAACGAGGGGCTGTGAATATATGTATATATATTCCTTCTTTTTGGTTTTCTGCGCTCTCCCAGAGGACCCCAAATCCGGGCTCATTTTGTTGTTTGGGAGTTCGCTGTCAAGGGGGGGGGAGGGGGGGTATAAATTGGTTTTAAAGGGGATAAACAGTTTTAAGGGGGGTGCCTTAGTGTGATTCTGTTATTTTCTATTTTATCAACGATTCTGTGAGGAATTCTGATGTGACCCTTGGCCAAAAGTCGTTCGTATTGCACTCTCTCAGGCATAAGTTGGATGCTCGGGCACCCAAGAAAACAGCCTAGATTCAAATCTCAAAAATGAAATATTCCATTTCAATTTAAATAGTTATAGTTCAAGTGTGAGTATGCCGAAGTTGACATTTCCTCTGCTTGGATCCAATGTTTTGTTAAAAAGAAGAAAAAAAAAGGCATTCCCTCTGCTTACCACTGAGCCCATGTGGCTGAATGGTACACACATGAGATTCCTTTTTTTTAAAGGATGAGATACTATCGCGAGGATCTGAGCCCTCGGCAATGCTGCAAACTTGTGCAAAGGCCCCTACGCCCGCCCATGGCGCCCAGTCATCAGAAAATTTTTAGTAGTTACATCTAGACTGAATGTTGCCCCAAATACAGGGATAATGACGGGCGGGCTATTCGGGTGAAGGGGCTAGCAACAATATAGGATTAACGAATGTTCGTGTGGCAGTGAAACAACACAAATCGGCCGAGTACAAGATGCAATCCCACAGTCAGCCTTTTCTTACCACTTCACTCAGAAAGAAAGGAGAGCCTGGTACCCCTCATCAGGTCGTTAACCCACCAGTACCTCCTGATTACCCGCCCATTAACCCACCAGTACCTCCTGATTATCCGCCCGTTAACCCACCAGTACCTCCTAATTACTGACCCGTTAACCCACCAGCCTGTTAACCAGCATGTAAGGACCTGCCAAACACGGACTGAGACACGCAGCTGATTTCTGAGTAGTGCCAATGGAATGTATGCCTTGCTGAGTTTCCCGCTTTTTGCTGAGTTTTCTAAGTCTGTGTGTGTGCGTACATATTTCTGTGTGCCTGTCCGAGTGCTTGTTGGTTTGATTGTGTGTGTGACCCTCAAGGGAACTCGTCCGTGCGGGAGGGCCGAAGGGTCGGTACTTACCTGTGGCCGTGACATTGAGGGTTGCAGCCGGGAAAACACTCAGTGGCGGGGAAAGAAGCCCACGACAGCAGCAGAAAAACACTAAAGTACCAGGTAGGTACCACACAAAGTAGAGATAGATGTGCTGGGTACTTGATGCCGAGCAGAAGAAGACACAGTTGGCATTTTGGAGGCGCAGTAGTGGTAGGCCAGGTCTAGGCGGGTACCAGTCCAAGTAGTCTGAGTCTAGGGCCTGTACGGGCGATATAAGAGTCTACAATGATGTTTCCCTCCGAAACGGAGGAGGTACCGGCTGCTTGGAGGCCGCGCAGCCTAGGAAGTCACCGCCCAAGAGGCAAGCAAGCCGCTATATCTCCTGGAGGAGCAAAGAGCTCCTCCTAATTCTTCGGTGTTCAAGTTTGGCGACTCACTGTTGGAGCGCTGGCTGGAGTAGCGCTGCAGGGCAGGAAGGAGCGCCCAGCTCCCCAGCTCGGCTATGGTGGAGGAGCACGGGCTGGAGGAGGAGGCAGACGAGGACTAGGAATGGGTAGCGCCAGAGGTACTTACCTGGCTATGGTGGACGCCATCTTCGTCACCTTGGTGGGTGCTGCATCTGGAAGACCCCGGTTGGGGTAGAGCTACACCAAGAAGCTTCGAGGCAGAGTCAGGCATGGCGGCTGAGCTAGAGCAGCCATAGCTGCTTTGAGTTGTCTTTGCACATCAGGGCARGGCCCTAGCAGTCCGCCATAGCCTCGGCCTTCAGGAAGGGGAAGGAGAAGGGTGGTCATGGCTATGGTGGACCTCATGTTGTCCCTGCAGTAGAAGAGGGATTCGAACACTGATTCTGGTTCAGCCATTCAACATTATTGTTATTATTTATTGTTTGAATAAGAGGGGAGGAGGAAAGGAGGAGGAGAGTGGTTGGCGAGAAGAAGGGGATTATCATTGGTCTTTGTTGGTGTACATCTTCTTCTTCTTCTTCTTCTTCTTCTTCTTCTTCTTCTTCTTCTTCTTCTTCTTTTTCTCTCCCTCTCTCTCCTCAAGTTCATTCATTTCTTTTGCAATTGGACGGCATTGTGCTTTCTCATGAATGTGTACTTCGAAATTGGCCAGGATCATAACAAGCAAGCCATTGGTACCAGAAAATTTCATAGATGCCCGCAAGATAATTTATAGTGCGGGCCTCCACAAAAATATCGCCGACATCCACAAGCTTGGTGGTTAATGGGCTGATCATAAGAAGGCGCTGATGGTTTACGGGCCAGGCCCCACTAAGCTATGAGGCTCGCCGCACCACTCGCCAAACGCCAACATTCTGAATGAATCTGAACATGTGGTGGTCCGGATACATTCGGAGTTTTGGCATTTGGTGATTGATGCGGTGAGGCCCTATGTCTTTCTCAAGGTTTTGAGCTTCAACGTACATTATCGAATATGATTTTTGCCATCTGATTGTCATCGTAGGATTTCCTAACAAAGGATTACCGTCTTCCCACGAATAGAACGTACCGTAACTACCACTATATCTAGAGTGTAGACTGAAAGTTGCCCCAGATAATGCCATTTGTTATATTTAGACGAAGACGTAGAGATAGGTCAGCGAGGCATCCAGTGGGGTACTCAAAGCCAGGACAACTGGTCATGAATCTTGTAGAAGCATAGTGGCCATTCGTTCTATTTGGACGAAGACGTAGAGATAGGTCAGTGAGGCATCCGGTGGAGTACTCAAAGCCAGGACAATTGGTCATGAATCTTGTAGAGGCATAATGGCCATTTGTTCTATTTGGACGAAGACGTAGAGATAGGTCAGTGACGCATCCAGTGGAGTGCTCAAAGCCAGGACAATTGGTCATGAACCTTGTATGAATCTTGTAGATTGAGGACAGTTTCTGTGAAATGCATTGAGCCTCACTGCTCGTCACCTTGAGCACACACACACAATGAGAGACCACTCGAAATCCGCACTGGAGTCCAGAGATGCAAATTCCAGCCAGATAAGCGCAGCTCAGAAATTCCAACAAATTATCATATTAAAATATTAAACAGTTCCAGCGTTCTAGCCACCAGCGCTCATCAGCGCAGAGTTCAACAACCCATATACAGCATCCTCATCCAGGCAGGTGACTCTCTCTCTCTCTCTCTCTCTCTCTCTCTCTCTCTCTCTCTCCTGTCTCTTATACACATCTAGATGTGTATAAGAGACAGCTCTGTGTGTGTGTGTGTGTGTGTGTGTGTGTGTGTGTTCTTCATGCATGTGCTCTCTCTCTCTCCCTCTCACTCTCTCTGCTTGGAGAACTTGACTCTGAATACATCTGCTACTACTCATCTCAATCTCCTACTACTAGCTGTGTGGCTATGGCCGCCTTCCCTCTCAGTGCAGCGCTGCCCAGCAGGGCTCTGGCGCGCGTGCTACTCACACATAGCAATCTATCCGAAACGTGGCTGGCCAGTCCTTATATCGACTTGGACTGAGTCTGGACTCGTCCCAACCTCTACTTCCTTTGGCTTAACTTGGATCTGGTACCACATGCCCACGGCCCGTTTGCCTCAGAATGTCGAGGCCTGGTACCTCCAGGAATTTTCCTTAGTGTGATGCTGCTTGGGCCTGTGAGTCACGACTTTCCATCTGTGGGGTGTGCCCCTTTGTCTATGAGACATGACCTTTGCCTGTAGAATATGCCCTTTGCCTTTGAGACGTTGTCAAGCGCATCGGCTCCTGCCTTTTTTTTGCAAAGGCGAGAGCCCTCCCGGGCATGTCACGCAGGAGTAAAACATAACGAGTTGACGACGCGGAATAATCCTGCGAGCCGCCAAAACGGTCGTGGTCGCGTCGTTCCTTCGCCGCTCTAGCCGGGTGCGCCAGCTGTACATCTCGTGGTCCCCTACAACAGGATAGGTTCCCGCGGGGCATAAGCTTTTCATCCCTAAGGGGCTGTCACCACCCTTAGGGGTGTATCCCTACCGAGCTATTGACCCACGGCGAAAGCTTTTAGATGCAGTCGCAGAGGTAGGTCAGTCGAGGGCGTTTGCTCGTTCGCTGTAATATAGATACGCTTGGTTAACGCCAAGTGGACCCAAGCGTCGTTTGTTCCCTAGGGCGCTATCTCCTAAGTACGGAGCGAACGTCGGTTGAATGGGATGGTCTCAACCAAGCGTGAAACCCAAATTTAATCCTAGTCCCTTTAGACATCAGTCAAAAGAAAGTTATAACCACCACATATATTTACATCAAAAGGAACCGACCATAGTCCATAGGCAAGTGTATCTAAACTGAAATGATAACGAAAAGAATTTAAATCATCATACAGTACATCCGATAACACAAGATCGAAATACAATCTAACCATCTCAAGCCGAACACCACAAAACAATCAAACAACCGCCAATGAGGAGTTGGCTTTCGACAATAACATAAACGCAACGGACAAGGTAATCGGCTGCATTAGTTTTGACTTGAT